TATATATTTTTTAATAAAGCAGCCAAAAACAAATTGCGTGTTACCTAAACATTACCATCTTAAGTTAACCCAATGTGAGTTGGACTGCGAATCAACTTAAAATTTCATTCACTTGTAACTGTTTAAAAAAAAAAAACATCTGATCAAATAAAACCCAAGCCAATGTTAAGATCTCAATTACTGTTCAACATAATGTGGATGGAAACCTGCCCTGCCCTGAACAAAACACCCTCAATGGGAATATGAATCAAATAACATTTCCCATGTTTGAGGTGTTGAATTTTCAAGCATAGTATATTCACCGAAAATTCAAAAAGGTCGACCTACCTTGATGTGGTGCTTGTGGCAAAGATGTTCGGAACTGTCTGCTTGTCTGAGTACTCTGCTCTGGAGGAAAAAAAGAGGAAAAAAACAGACCTATTAAGAGTAATTAGAACTTCCTAAGGCATTTAAACAACCAAAAGGCGCCTTATGGTCCCACCCATATTGCAGTCACTGACTCTAATTTGACCACATTTGTTACATTTTCAGCTTGGTGTCAAGTTTTTTTATTATTTTTTTTTTTAACTGTCAAAATCAACCCTCCTTATCCTTTCGAAACTTTCTCTTATGCTCCACTGGAGGGTAGTGTGTGAAATGGATTTTATAAGTTAGAAAGGCACGAGACATTTGAAAGTCCATTTAACATTGTTTAGTTCATGTATATATAATATAAACGTTCACATGAGTGGAAATATATTAATCACAATTCCAAAACTGAAAACTGCTAATGCAGAATCGAGGGTATATCGGCTCCAGTTTGACAAAAAAAGTTGCAAACAGCTGTTTGCTGCATTCATCAGCATTTGTGCTGATGGGATGGATGGAGTTTACTTCCCAACAATGCATCAAGTGATTTACTTTCATACTACATTATTGTTTCCATGTTTAAGTGTATTGACCCCTTATGTTGCTGTTGGGGTTTGAGAGGATTTTCAAAAATAAATCTAGTCCAGTAATTAAGTGGTGGAAGTACCACAAAGGGTTAGCGCGTTCCCGCGGTGACCTCACAGTGCAGAGGTCGTGGGTTCGATTCCGGCTCTGGCCTTCCTGTGTGGAGTTTGCATGTTCTCCCCGGGCCTGTGTGGGTTTTCGCTGGGTACTCCGGTTTCCTCCCACATTCCCAAAACATCCATGGAAGACGGCTGGGATAGGCTCCAGCACCCCCCGTGGCCCTTGTGAGGATAAAGCGGATCGGAAAATGGATGGATGGATGAAAGTACCACTAATGATACGCTGCGCTTCATTGAGTGGCACATGAAAGAATCGCTTCCTAAATACAGTTCAGTTGGATGTACTTTGCATTAATTACCGTGTCCGACACATTTGCATTTGAAGTGTCAGCCTAATCTTGATTGGTGGTGTGATTTTTAAAAGTAAAACCCCTAGTTTTTCATGACCACTTAGGCCTACTATACTACTGTGTATTTTAATGTAGCTCTGCCAGTCCCACCCATATGACCAATCAATATGGATCTGTTTCATGTTATTTCTTGGAAAAAGTTTGAGACTCAAGAACTAGATTAATTAAGAACATCCAGTGTGCGAGCAGCTGTTGTCGGCTGTTCGAGGAGGCGTGATGGCGTTGCAAGGTAATATGATAGGAGGCGACCCCTCGGCTTGCATGTTGCCACATGTCCAGCAGGTCCGTGTTCACTTTGGCAACCATTTACATCTCAATCTAAAAGTGAGGATTGATTGATTCATTTGTCTACCTTTTCACTTTGACGCGGTGTCCTTCAAGTTCAACCTCACATGGAAACCTTGGCAAAAGACCCCGAGTGGCAGCTTTCACGCTTCCGGGTGTCAGTATCATGAGAACCCACGAAGATCAGATATATGATAACCACAATTTGTTGTTGTTGGATGAGAATTTTTATGAAGCAGACTAACAGCCAAGTTTTGAACTGCTGAAACCATCTCAACTATAAAAAGATTATGTTACATTCGGTATTGCAGTAAATATTTATGCTTCCAGTGTATATGCTTTGGTTGAAACCCCAAAGTGAATTTCTGAGCTTTGAACCAACTCGACATTTTTTTTTTTTTTTTTACTTTTAAAACTCTAACCCGTTCAACCGTAAAGCGAACTCTGACATTTAAGCTCATGTTCCCTAAAAATAGAAGTCCTGCTGACTTTCTTCACGCTGCAAAGTCTCATGATGGATGGCACACCAGAGGCGGGTTACGTAAATGCCCACTACAGGGTGTGTTGCACTACCCCGGATGTTAATTGAAACATTGAAAGCAGAAAGACTACAACACCATACCATACATGTTGCTCGTTATTAACCCTTTCAGGGACAGTGGTTGCTACAGTGGACAGTTTATCATGTTATTAGGTTACAGGATGCATGAAAGGGTTAAAGTGAAGGCCAGTCAATCACAGGGCACACAGAGACGAACAACCATCCACGCTCACACTCACACCTAGGGACAATGTAGATTTTTCAATCAGCCTGCCATGCATGTTTTCGGACTGTGGGAGGAAAATGAAGTACTCAGAGAAAACCCATGCAGACACGGGGAGAACATGCAAACTCCACACAGGAAGGCCAGGGCCCGGAATCGAACCCATAACCTCTGCACTGTGAGGTGGATATACTAATCAGTGTTCCACCATGCTACGAGCTCATTTACCTACTCATTGAAGAGAAGTACAGTACCTGTTTCTAAAGCCAAATTCTGGCACGGCTTTTACTTTCTGGACCTGGATTCTCCACCTCTGCTTCTTTCCCATGTGTTTGTATAGAAAATGCAAAAATTCAGCTATGATGATGATGATGATTATTTTAACTCTTCAAATGCAGGGGAGGGAACATGGAGGCTCTGACTCCCTTGTCTGCCGCGACCACACATCCCTACTTATTAATTTAGGAATTTTGAATGGAATTTTGAATGACGGTGTTAAAATGTTTGAGTGAATAGCTCTTTGTGAAAATGTGCACGCAATGAGCTCTTACGTTTAATGTTGACTCATGTCATTGGTTAAAAGCTGCATGGACACCAAGGAGCTGACAAAAAAAAAATTGTTGCTCATCACTGATCTAAGCACTCGGCCGCTTTACATTCCAAACGTGGCTGGCGTAGTTCAAAGATTTTGTGCAGCTTTTAAACATGAATTACAAAGAAATACTGTACCTGCTTTTTAAATGATCAAGTTCATTAGTTCCCGTTTTGACAACTTGTGTGTCTGCTTTAGTTGTCAGTTTGACTCAAGTACCAAACATAAAAACCCATGATGCTTTCCCCAAAATCTCTTATGCGTGTCTTCATCACGTAT